TTAGACAGCATAACGGCGAAATATGCAAACTGATTAATTTCATTGATTTGTGGGGTTTAACGTCCCAAAACCACCATATGGTTATGAGAGACGCCGTAGTGAAGGACTCCGAAAATTTTGACCACCTGGGGTTCTTTAACGGGCACCCAAATCTGAGTACACGGGCCTACAACATTTCCGCCTCCATCGGAAGTGCAGCCGCCACAGCCGGGATTTGTTCCCGCGACCTGCGGGTCAGCAGCCGAGTACCTTAGCCACTAGACCACCGTGGCGGGGCGAAATATGCAAACTGAATAGTGAAATCTTATTTCGCATGAGTGACCTAATTGGTCAATTTGTATCTGTCACTCTGCTTCTGCCTACTGGAAGTCCAGCCTACAATTTTCCTTACGGAATACCCCATTACGAGTTCCAGGTGGAGCTTACCATTCATAGCCATGATATTCCCCTGAGCACAGGGTCACAGCATGTCTGTTTGCCATTACAGTGAGGCATTGTTAAAAGCGGGACTGCCATGGTTACACATGTACTAGTCTAAGATTGCTCACAAAATAGTGTAGTGGATGCAGGCCGAAATTATTGCCGGCCTGTGATAAAAATATCCTTCACTTAAAGGTCAGTGCTATATTTTTGTAGCCTTCGTTTCCACAGTACAATTTTCTTACACGCCGTTATTACGAGTTTACACCAACTAGGCCGCAACTCTATGCTTTAGTCTTGCTTTGAAAAACTACTCACGTTTTAGCCAGCACGCCTTAAAGTAGTAAATGGCTGCACCCTCCCCCTCCGCTTCCATTTATTGGACCAGAAACTGCCCACCGATGGCACGCCACGCTGAAGGTTTAACGCCACGTAGATGCTTCCGACGGCTACCCAATCGCAGTGGAGTAAATACAAATGTATTTCTCACATCTCTCATTGTCGCAGGGATCACGGATAGGGGTGGTTTCGCTATTGCGAACAACCATGTCAGCAACGCTCGAGGGTCGACTTTGTCGTCACGGGGGAATTCTCGGACGAAATAAAGTTCCCTGACTGACTGACTGACTGACTGACTGACTGACTGACTGACTGACTGACTGACTGACTGACTGACTGACTGACTGACCGACCGACTGACTGACTGACTGACTGACTGACTGACTGACTGACTGACTGACTGACTGACTGACTGACTGACTGACTGACTGACTGACTGACTGACTGACTGACTGACTGACTGACTGAGCAAGATCGAGGGAAGAGTTCTGAGTCAAGGCTACGTTCACGAATACAGGAGTTACTGTGGCAAAGAAACAGCTGCGCCTCATATAAAAAGATCGGCGTGGCAAAAGCAAGTACACTTCGGTTGTGAACCAGGAAGTGGTGCAGATGGGAGGAACGTCCTGTTTATTTGACGCTAATGATAATAATTTGTGGGGTTTAACATCCTAAAACCACCATATGATTATCAGAGACGCCGTAGTGAACGACTCCAGAAATTTCGACCGCCTGTAGTTCATTAGCGTGCACCTAAATCTGAGCACACGGGCCTACAGCATTTTTGCCTCCACCGAAAATTTAACGCTAGGTTGAAATCTAAAAAAATGGAATAGAGGCGCGCACTTGTGTCTCCGCTAGCTTGTTCCTTCTTCGTCTTTACCGATCTTCTAAAATATTCGTTAACAACTCCCTTGTATATTATAACGCCCAATCTTGTGGTCAGGTCAAAGTCGTAGAAATTCCTATATATTTTTCCTATCAACGCCCGTGAAAACCTATCCTGCGAACCAGTTGCAATAGGGCAAGCATAGGCTCTGTTGAGTGCCCAAAGGATCGATATATTGATTGGAAAACGACTAGTGGGCAGAATACTTTGGATCAGTGAAAAAGTGTTTGTTTTAAAATTGTCATTACGCCTGAAGTAAAGTAAAAGCTACCTTCTGTGCTATCGTACGTAAGCAACTAAACAAAAAGTGCCCTTTGACTTTACTTCTCTACATGTGCGACTCACACGTGTAGCAGTCCCTTTAGATAGGCACGTTGACTCTCTTTAGGAGAGTAGTGGTAAGCATAACTTCCCAAAAAAAAGTCAGTGTGCCTCTCTAAAGAGAGTGCAACTCATCGGATTCACACATGCGTGAATATAGAGTCAAAATATTTAGCGTGTAAGTAATATTATTTGCTAGACAACACCAACTTGTCTGTGGCATTGTGATACGACAGAGTTTTAAGTGACCTGTTGAGCAACAAAAGATGAGAGGGCGAACCAAGAAGAGCATCTGAGCCCTGGACGCGAGCTCCATGGCATGCTTTAACTAGCTCCTATTAGTCTGCCACAAAAATTAATGCCTCCAACCTTTCCTCCCTGGACACTTTCACCTCTAACTATGAAAGAATTTGTGCCTGGCATCAATGGAGCATACAGGCGCATGTCACAGACCTCAATGCTGCAGACTACTCGAGCCCTACGCTGAGCCCTCTCCTATTTACACTGCTGCTTCAATCACTCAGGAGACTTCCTTCTATGACCTTTGTGTCCCTTCTACAAGACAAATACTATTTTTCCAGTTAGAACCTAAGACATCCTCAACAACAGCAGAACTTCATGCCATTAAAAAATCGGTCCTCTACGCTTTGCTCCAAATGCCACATCATGGCTAATTTTCAACAACTCCAAAGGGGAACTATACATATTTTTCAACCTCCTAAAGACAATGAATTCTCACCCAATTTCATTTAACATAGCACACTTACATCACTTGGCTATTCGCGCAAGTCACTTTATCACACTTCAGTGGACACCGTCTCACTGTGGTATTCTGGTCAATGATATAGCAAATTAAGCAGCTCGAAAAGGTGTCCAACACAATGTTATAGGCGAACTTATTTTGCGTTATCTGCTGCTTCTCAGCTGGCTAAAAGACTTGCTTTTGAAAAAAAAAATAGGAGGCTCTAGAACTTTCTGATACAGCATTAAGCCTTCGTCCAGTCAATCAACCCGTGTCTCAAAACAAGACTCCCATACATAATTCCTCGACATCTGGAATCCCTGTACCATGGTCAACGTCAAAGCACTGCCTATTGTAACGGCTTACAGTACTTCGGTCAAGCAGCGAATACGTACTGCAGCAATTGTGGCACAATTAAAGCTGTGGAACATATTTTACTTGAGTATCGAATGTATGCGGTTGAGTGTGCGCTGTGTAAACATTGCATGCAATGTATAACACAAAGGACTTTCTCATTTGGCTGTAATTTGAGTCCTTTACCCTGCTTCACGCTACAGAGGCGTGTGATGAAACTTTTATTTACATGTTTATAGAATACCGGTCAGTTCGACAAGCTTCAGCTCTACCTTGATACCACGCAATGATAGTCTAACAACGCACGTCCCCACCCAATAAACAAAACATTCAGCCTGTTTTTTTCTTTATTGTTTTTGTTCTTTTACCATCTTAAATAATTTTTTCCTCTCTCCACCTAGTTTCTGTCCCAAATCCCCTTCCCCACACAGAGTAGCAAGTCAGCAATTTGCATTCGCTGGCTAACTTCTGTCCTTTTCGGTAAACAGTTATCTCTCTCTCTCTCTCTCTCTGTCTTCGATGGCGCTTTTAAATACAGCGGGCCTATTCCGTCTCGTGTAGATTTCTGCACACGTAACTATCTATATTTTGAGTAGTTAAGATAAGAAGTCACTGTGGCGTATTTAGTGTGAACGTGCCACCTTCACAACTTGGAGGGCACAGCTCGATTCACAATGCCAACAGTGATAACCTAATGGCTCCCTTAGATTTCGCTCTAGATACAAGCTGTTTGCAAGAATGGTTCAATAGAGTATGATTTCTTACGCATTTCTTACACAGGAAGTCAACTAGAAGCTGAGATAAGAGACGCATTATATTTTGTGCCATTTATTCGCAGACCAGGAGGTAAATACGTTTTCATTACCGCCACCGAGGTGCACAAAAGCTAGAATGTTAGCGCAAATGCAGCAAGGCTACTGTGGACGAAGCTCAAAGAGAGAGCATATATTCTAAGTTGTGGAATAGCTTAGCTGCAGTGCACCGCAGAATAAATTTTGAACAATATCCTACACCATGATGTCGTACAAGCATACAAACAATGGTAAAATTCTTAGTCTTCCTTCAAGCAGGAAAATGACTATAGCGAGCTGCAATAACGACGTCATGTTTGTTTCATACATTACTCCTTGCGTGAAGCCTGAAATGTGTGTGAAAAGACGGAAAAAAACACGGGAAGTCTTGCACGTGCGTCCTGAGCAGAGGCGCTGTGCCTGCACTGTCGTTGTTCGTCGAAGTTCGAACAGCGGCAGACGCTTCATTGTGCCCTGAGCACACTGGACGATTGATGATCCAGTGTCTGGTCCAGAAAGCCACGTGAGCCTTTCTTCAGTACCCGAAGCCATTGACACGCGTTAGATCTCTTTGACAGAACACGTCACGAGCCTGCCTTCATCGCTTCCTTTCTTTTGCTCCCACACTCTGAATCTCGTGTGTGAAAGAATAAAAATATAATTCACCCTGGGCTACAGGTCTCGCGGGCTCTTTTGCCAAGATTTTTTTCTATTCTTTGAGAAAGAAGCAGTCGTTGTGCCCTATCGAACGCTACGTCTTGCTTCCAGCGCCACCTGTGGTATCGTGGCACCTCTTCAGTAAATGCAAAGTGGGGTGCGTTTAAGTATTTCGTAAATGAACGTAATATGGCAAAGTGAAATGCCTGAACCTAATTTGTGTTTACTCCATCTCAAGAAAAGAAAATCCCAGTCTACCCAGGGCAAAGTAATAGTCATGGATCTCCCTCATGAAAACCGCGTTCATTACTGCCTTTAGTTCTGAGCTGAAATAGGAAATAGAAAATTAATAGGAAAGCCAAATTTCCTGCTGACGACTTATTTACGTACTTCTTTAATGCAAAATCACTCGAAGGACGTTGTTCCGCTCATGCAATTGTACCGAGAACGTGTCTTCATTGTGCTAACGACTCACGCAAACTCGCAGGTGACAGGCGAGATAGCGGAGAAGATGCACTTCTTCTACTTCCTCGTGTACCGCTACGGAGTGTGTGTGCCATCCACCTGCCAACGGGAGGACGTCGAGACCATCGCCGCCAGCCGTGAGTGTTCATGATCATGTCACTGCATGTCTAAAGTTGCTTTCACATTGAAAATGCGTGCCACTATTACGTAAAAACTCTCTCTTTGTTTACAAGCTTGCTCAGTAAATCGTGGTGGGTGTTTATTTGCTATTATATGCGATTGTCTGTACGTTCCTGTTGTTGCCACCACCTACATACCTGCAGCGTCTTGTATTGTAGTGACGGCCAAAACAGGATAGTTTTTTTTTGCACCTTAATAACTTGGAACCAAATGACCTGAAAAAAAAACAAAAAAAAACATCGCGCATGACATCATCCCATCGCTGTCGACCCTGACTTTGTTGTTATAGTGATTCTGGCGAAACGTGCGAACCGTGAAGCCGCGTGGCGTTACTTAGTACCTCTAGTGACGCGGGCAAACCACAGACGCTGGCAAAATAGCAATACTCATATGCACCACTAGGTAGAACTCTGCCTTTCATTCGACTTGTAGGGTGGTGGTAGGACGTCATACGTGGCGCTTATGCGGACGTGACGGGACCAATGCGGTGCAAATATACTTATCCCTCCCATATCACTGCAGCCACCATTTCAGTTGCTATAGGTTCAACCCCATAGAGATCCGAGCAGTCATTGTTGCGTGGTAACATACATAACGGATCAAACCTGTACCGGGAAGCGAAACCTGATTTGAAACATTACGTTACCGCCTTCCAAGTGTGATGAACAAATGGAAACTAACAACTGATAATCTGCGTATATGGTCTAAAACTGAAATGTTAAATCGCATGTGCTGATTGTGTTGTAAATGAATGTTGGGTGATTTCTGTAATGGTTATTCAGTTTTTATTCTTTCATGCATTGTTTTGTTATGAATATTTTGTATGTATTTTAGAGTTGTGATTCTATTATTTGCTGTCATGGGCCACATGCGTGTTTCTTTTTGTATTGCCGCTTTCCGCTGCCTATAATCTTTGTAATTTTTGTAAATTTTTAGTTTAGATTTTTTTCTGGGTGAAGGGGCCAGTCAAGCTGTGAAATGCAGCTTTCTTCCCTTTGCACCAAACCACGTATACAGTGTATTTTCGTGTACTTGTCACGTGGTTGAATAAACTCAAACTGAAACTCAAACAGTGGCCATATAAGCGCGACTTCCGAAACTAGGCATTTGTAATATAGGCACGAACGCCAAAAGTAGGCATTTGTAGGCACTATAAAAACGCTGTAAAAATCCCTGCTTAGCCACTCATTCATGCTTATATATCAAAATCGTGCGATAGGAGGGTAAGGAACGAAATAGGAATTTGCCTAAAATCCTGTCTCTAGGGATAAGCAGTAGTCTTGACAGTCACTAGTACAAGTAAAAGCAGGTTTGAGTTTTTTGTATTGTTATTTTTATTCGCAGTTTTTCATGTTATCAGTTCTTTCTCTTTTTCATCCACTTCCATCTGTAGTGCCTTCGGTTTTGAAGTTGAAAAAAATGAGTAACTCAATAAATACTTATTGTTATTTCCACGAATACTGAGTAATTGTTTATTCTGTAGTGTACATGGGAGAACTCTATATGAGCGAACAGGAAGGGCCGTTACGTACATTCTTACGGAAGATAACAGTAAAGTGAATCAAAGTGGATGGAGCAGTTTAAGCAACGCTGAATGACACATCCACACCGTGCCAAAATCTCGCATTACATACTCATTTTACCTCTGAAACGCAATATCTGCCGTGCTCTAAAAGGCGATACAAGTTCCACCTCGAACCTAAAGCAAGAAGCAAAAACTATCACTGAAGAGGAGCACTGTGGACTGATGACATCTTGTTACTAATTGGCTCCACCCATTTACTTTTTTGGTACACTATACCTTTTAACTTTTAAATAAATACAAAGCATTTTACCAGGCTGCATTTTAGTGAGGATCTCGACTTTCAGCAGCATGGGTCGCAATCAGGCTGTTTAAAATTGCGTTCTTTGTGCCTAGTACATGTAAGTAATTCAATGTAACCGTCGTTTAAGGGGGCTGTGAAAGAAAGAAAGAAGAAAGAAAGAAAAGAAGAAAGAAAGTCTGATGCACTGCCGATTCAACTTAACTTTTTATCAACTGGCGATTAAAAAAAGTGCTATAATCTGGTTCTGTCTATCACCAAACTTGGCGCAATCTTAGAGTTAAGTGTTCAAAGTTGCAATGCAAAGCGCCCTAATGAACATGTCTAGTTGCTCTATGTAACTGGTAATTTGAAACCATTCATGCACAGCTTCTTTCACTTCCAATTAAGCGATTTTTTTCCACGCAGTATCACCTTTTGACTCACGCGTTGCCATCCTCGCCGCTGTATTGATTTCATGTTCCAGTCGTCAAGTCTGCAGAGTTTGAAGTCAAGGTTGCCAACTGCGAAGTGAAGGAGGACAACGCTAAGCTGAACGGGGACCAGACAGCCATCGTGTAAGTGCCATCCGCAACGGATCCTCAGACAAGCGTGACTAGGAGAAGACTCCGAGACGAAGTTATGATTGTGTCTCGAATCTCCTACACGCCACATGGTATAGTATGGCGTATTGAGGTAACGTATGGTGGTATCAAGGTTATGGCATGGTAAGGTACGCTACATTAGGGTATGTATGTATGTATGTATGTATGTATGTATGTATGTATGTATGTATGTATGTATGTATGTATGTATGTATGTATGTTTGTATGTATGTATGTATGTATGTATGTATGTATGTATGTATGTATGTATGTATGTATGTATGTATGTATGTATGTATGTATGTATGTATGTATGTATGGCATTGCTAGGGTGACATGCTCGCGAAATCACAGTTCCAAGAGATATCTACTGATCTAAAAAAAACACAGATTTTCTCACTGAGGTTGCCTAATATATTTGTCAGCATAGCTTTGCACGAACATTGTATGTTGAAAACATAAAATAAACCATGCCACACATGTGTAGTTACTTCAAATGGTTCTAGCGGCTATTTTGAGCATCACAGCATTTCTTGCGCTCGTAGACACTTGCCCGCCCAAGAATTTTTTGAATCCAAATGACTGCTTATTTTAAATGAGTACCCACCTACCATTTGATCTAACCTTCAAGGACGTGCATGAGATCGAGTCGCTTAATTGAAGCATGCATGTAAACTACGGGATGCTAAAAGCACAAGCATCGGCACCAACATTCTAAACTACTGCTCGAGCAACACAGCAACGCACTATACGACGCTAATGATTGAAAGGTTAAATACCCCGGGGCAATTGACGAGTGAGGAACGACGCAATAGTAGAGGGGTCTGAATTTTTATATATCATAATTTGTTCAACACAACACGCAACGCACGATATATAAGCGTTTTTCTATTGCACCCCCTTCTAAATGAGACCTTTCTGACAGATACGAACCCCAGGAGCTAAGAAGGATATGACACACAGTAGCTGCTTAGCCATTGCACAGGTTTTTATCATAGGGAGAATCTTTCAAATAAAATGCATAGGACATGAACCAATGAAACTTGGCATAGAGATTGCCGTACTTGAAACTTCCGAGTAAATATGAAACAATACTTCCCTACAGTCGAGAGTTCGACGAAGCTTCGTCTGGTGAGATAACACTTTCATAAAGTTGCGGCCACTGACCAAGGCAAGGCGAAATACATACGAGGAGCGTTTTGGGAACTGTACGGGTTCTTTGCACGCAATGAAGGAGTATATATATATATATATATATATATATATATATATATATATATATATATATATATGCATGGGTCCCGAAACACCACTCGTGTGTTTTCAACTAGACCTGCTCAGCAATCATAACCTTTTCGTCAAGAGTTCACTACACGAAATTGATAGCTAAGCTAAAAGTTTAAAGTTTTATTTAAAACCGCACTTAGTTCATATAAGAGTCATGTTTGTAGTCCAGAAGATTTTTTCCCTGAATGATTCGGTTGAGAGAGAAATAAATTTATTAACGGCATTACGAGGTCGCTATAGCACTCATCTTGCCCGTGGTTCGAAGGGCGGTGCTGAAAAGCTTGCCAGCACCACTTCATCCCATACAATCACGTGTGAGTGATGACGATAGTCAGTCGACGACAGGAGTGATTCCCACGCCTCGAGGGGGGAAGCTGGCAGTATTGCGTTTGTTGGTGGGTGCCCCTCACATTCTGGCTTCCAATCATCCATATATCTCCGCATTAGTAGAAGCGCATACTTTGTGTTGCCAATTATCAAGGTCTATATGTAATAAAGTGTTTAAAATTCCTAAAGTATACTCCACGGGTGAACTTTACCCTCTCGGAAATCATTTTTATCGTGTTTTTTTTATACCATAGTGACGGCAATGTGCGTGAAGACTAGCTGACGAGGTTTTTCGCAGTTAAATTGCGAAGCTATATCGCAAAACCGAGACCACAATCTAAGGCTGTTTTGGACATGCCACGTATTTTTAGCGGTCTGTTCATGCTGAAAAATTCACCGCGCTAACAAACAGGTGGCGTACCGACTGGCAGGTTTTCCAAGAGTGCATTTATCTGGAGTATGAATATCGTTCGTCAATTAAGGATCTGTTGCGAGAAAGCATTTTTACAAAGTTTCCAGCTTACAACCACCATAGGTCACGCTGAATCTGACTATTTCTGGGTGAACTGTGCTCAACGTGTCCAACCTTTATTTTATTCACTTCAACATAGAGGGTCCCCGACAAGGTACAACACGATCGGAAGCATTGCCGTCGGGCACATAATTGAGGTATACGAAATTTGGCTTCACGCTTCAACGCAACTTTGTTGCTATTTTAAAGACGATACTCTTTCTTGGGGACCTTCGACGCAAAATTTTGGTCTGTCTGTCTGTACATTTGTCTGTTTGTCCACTCTTAACGGCACCGAGTATTTGAAACAGCCGACCCCATCCGCAGCGCCCAGCAATGTTGCTCTAGATTTAGCGTTCATACTTGTGGAATTGTCAACAAAAGAGCAATTATTGCGCATGTCTCGGGCACCATAACAACACGTATATATTCTGCATGTGCGTCTTTTTCCAGAAAAGGCATACATAACTAATTTTAACACTGTAGCGCTTATCACGCTGCGCTGACCATGCAACGCTTGCACGAAAAGGCGAGTGTTTCCAACGCTTTGCTAAGACGAGACGATGGTGGCGACGGGTGCATTCTACACCTTATCACCTCTGAGACGGGCGCGTACACCCGTCTCAAAGCCACGCGCTTTGTTTTCCAAGAGGAACTGCCAGATGGCGCTCATGCCTCACGTGTGACGTGACTTGATGCACTCGTTCGCCTCTGCTGCACGCTCAAGGCACTCCAACACAGCGCCTCCGGAATACCATTCACCTATTTTCTAAAACTAAATAAACACTAAATAAATGTTTTGTTCACTCTCTACACACGCAAGACTATCGTCTTTCGACAAAATTTGCAGATTAACATGCAAATACGGGGCCAATTTTTTTCCAGAAGAAGACTGCGAGGCAACACTTCATTGTCCAGCGTTCTGCAAGACCGAAATTAAAAATAGAACATTGTCTTTTATGCATTCGTTAAAGACAACTCGAAAGAGAAAACCATCTTTTTTATATTCTTTTTCTGCTCCACATATGAAAGCTTTTTGCATTTATGACAGTCTCTTTGCCCAACACACACGAAAAAGAAATAAATACACACCACGAGTTTTTTTCTCGTTCTTCTGTGCGCAGCACAAGAACAATCATGAAACAGTACCAACTCGCCCAATCGTCACTATTGTTGTTTTCTGCACCCAGCACATTCTTGCACTGCCTTCAAGATTGGGGGCATTGCAAGCTTCCTGCACTTGACGTATCTTTGCATTGCCTCTGTGATCAGCCTACCTTTGACTAAGCAGTTTCATGTGATGACGTCATTACGCGATGTCATATTATCCTCACGATTGCTTTACAAGCTTTAAGTCTCGGACGTCCTCAAGTCACAATCTCTAATCACGTGACTTTTTTGCATTTTTCATGTTGACGGCGCAGCCGACACTTGTCACTACTTGCGTGTGGCAAGGCATCTGAGGCTTTAGCCTAAAAAAAAAGATACAAGATAAACAGGAAAATGGTCGTGTGCAAGCCTGATGACGTCGTTAAAGCCAGGGCCCGTATTCACAAAAGCATCCTACAATGTATACGCTAACCATTTTCATTGTACATCATTGGCTGATGTACAACAATTGTACCTCAGCCAATCACTATGTGAGTAGATTCGTCAGTGAAGCCATGGAAAGATGGTATAACACACTTACTAATGAGAAATTTGTGAACCTAAATTAGCCCGACTCCCCACACTGGCACGAGGCAAATGCTCAAAAGGTAGAAACGAACGAGACGCTTGAGAAAAAAAGAAATGCAGCTTTCCTACTGGCTGTGTAACAAGTGGTGAATCGGGAAGAGTTGACAATCTAGACATCTCAATGTCAGCCTTATAATGGAAGACTGTTCTCGGTGTAATACAGTGAAGTGCACGAATTGCGCTGCTGAAGAAAAACTTGTTGCCTTTTTTCGAATGAATAAAGAATATTGAGCTCGGCAATAAAATGTAATAGCATGTGCGAAGAGAGGCTGTCGCATCTGATTGGGAAAAAAAATTAAACGCATACGCTTGTCTCTCTAAGATAAGAATACCGTTGTAAGTAAAGAGCACTTTTGCTGCTTGCTCACTCATAAGCTGAGTCATGATCATTGAACCTTCCCGACACCTGTATAATAATACTTTTAAGTTTATTACCTCTATAGTGTGAACAATTTAAAAAAAGTGAGCGCTTTACATTATGCACGCACTCAGTAATTTAACACATGTCCGTCATCTTATTGTGGTTTTGGGACGTCGAACCCCCCTTATTATCAACACATGTCGATCAAGTTGATTTGTAGAGCACTGCACTATGGCATATTTCAGGGGCTTCTCGTGTAATTAGCGGTTCAAATAGCTATAGACCCATGTTATCATCACGGTCAACCGAGTAATCACCGTGGGTGCTAAGAACATTACGATGTGTTTTTTAACCTTTCTTTCATGTTATCGTTTTTTGCGGGCCTTCATGTTAAAATAAGTTGCCAACTCAACGAGTAGTCCGGACTGCTAAGGTTTCAGCTGCGAGTTAGCGCTGTCCATGTGTTTTTGTCTTCCCGGTTCTGGTTGTGTTGTGTTACAGTATTCCGGACTGCTAAGGTTTCAGCTGCGAGTTAGCGCTGTCCATGTGTTTTTGTCTTCCCGGTTCCGGTTGTGTTGTGTTACGGCGTGTGAATTGCGAAAAGTGGCGGAGGAACTGTTTAGTTCATCAGGTTTGGTGACAGTTGTCCAATAGACAAGAGCATGTTGGTCTATGCGAGGGCTAATCTTACATCTGTTGTACGTGGTAATAAGCTGGCTAGGAAAGGACGTATAGACGTGTCAGTCGAAGGGAAGTGCGGAGGGGTGACGCGTGCGTGCTTCGCTCAGCCAAACTTGTGCGACTTAGTGCAAACTCACTGCATTTTTTTTCGGGCGGATTGTTTCTATACAGTCAAGGAAAGAAAACAACATAGAAAATGAAAAGTCTAGGTTGTTAACCACTTTAGAATAACTGGTATGCAACGCTGGGGTTTTGAAAAGGTGGGCGAGCTTTCAGAGGCGTAAAGAAAGACAGGGGCAGCTGCAGCAAACACACAACGTCGCAGCACATCATTTTGATGCGGTATACGACATTACTATCAGTTTACAGTCACTTGTGCAGGTCTGCTGTCCTAAGAAATATTAACACTTCTTTCAGAGCCTTCATTCTCTCCTCTACGGATTTTGATTAGAGAATTGCTTCTAGCGACATCAATCTGAGGTCAAAGCGTGCTAGAGCGATTGCGAGTGATTGTCTCTGTTCAGGGTAGCCCGAACCTTCGCATTAGGTCTTCTCACAACCACGGACAACACAAAAAGCTATGTCGGCCATTCCTACGCCCAAAGAAAATAAATTTTGAAAGTAACTTCCTCACAACCGACATAGCAGAGAGGCGAGAGGGAGGAAGGAAGTAGTACGAAAGGGAGAAGGCAGAGAGGTTAACCGAACTGCCGTTTGATTGGCTACCCTACGCCGGGGGAAAACGGACAGGGTAGTAGAAAGATGAGAGAGACAGCCAGAGAGGAGCACAAAAAAAAAGAAAGGAAATGATCTACAAATTCTCTGACACTTATATGCCATCGGCGGCTTCGCAGTTCGGTGGAATTCGCAACGAAAACTGGGCGGAGTGGGCAGCAGGGTGGCTTTTTACACTTGTACGCTGGCAGCAGGCCAGAAATTGACGAGGAAACCTTCTGGCAGTCCTACGAAGTCGCTTGTTAAACATTCGCATCGGAATATGTTTCACGTAGGATGAAAGCTAGCTATGCCTCTTTATGTCGGACATATATGTACACACATAGCACGTGTCTAAGTGCCCCTCAAAGAAAAGTGAACTTGGCTTTCACGGTTTAGGTCTTTCTCAAGACTTCCTTCCTTTTTCACAACCACACTCGAGACACTGAAGGAAGGTTACCAAAGGGCATTTCGTTGTGTATACTGAGCTTAATTGTGATAGGAAGGGGGGAAAAACCGTTGCGCTCATTCGTAGGACTGCTGGGCATCTGAGTGAGTCTGTAAACGGGAACTTGTAAGCACAAGAGCAGCGATGGCGAGCACTTGTTCCAAGGGCAACGTAGTTTCGTTCACGTTGTACTTGTGACGCAAGGTGTGTGCCCGTTGTGGCAAATACGTGCTTTTTCACGCCATGAGTTTCGAAGTACAGTATTTTGCTCACCTGTCGTGAGACTAAAGAATGAGTTTGGAAGTTCATCTTTACAAATGACTCTTTGCTAATACAAGGCAGTGAGAAGCAGAGTCAAGTTCTTCATCTGTTTATATATGTATTTTTTCTCTCACTTCACGAAACCTTTACTTGACTTTTACTTCACTGCAATGGGCACACTTTTCCAAGGCTTTTTTTATTTTTCTTTTTTCTTTCCATAACTCTGTTATTACTGTGTGAAAATGGCTGTTTTTTCATATATCTCGGGAGGATCGTTTTAGCCAGTTTGTAAAGTATGCCAGCGAGCATTGCAGCATACCAACCTTAGAACAATTAAATGCTCTTTCCAAAATATATAAGTTGTAGAGTGACAAAAATATTGTAAAATTAATAAAAATGTGAGAATTGTGTAATTTTTTATTGTTAGAGGGTAAACTGTGCTACAAAAATGCTATATATGCAAAAATATTGAAAACAAGGAAAATTCAGAATACACATTTTGTATATGAATGGCCCAGGAACAGTACAAAAATAATAAATGTTGTACAAGACGTTTCTCTTAACATAGACAAAGAAAATTAGCACGGATGTGCTGGTTCATTGCTCCTGCCGTGCGGTGAAGCATTGCATGGTTTTTCGCGAGGCGCAAGTGAAGTAGTACACTCTTCTCAGTAAATGTTTTTTGTGTTGCGGTAAGAGTCTCCGAACTTCCAATATAAATTAATGCCAGTGAAGTGAATAATGCCTCTATAAACGAGATATCCAATGAACTTCGTTATTTTATCTAGCGTCACCTCTTTCCATATGAGCTACCCCACTTCGCATAGGTTGGCGTTCCAATACATGCATCCAAGTATATTTCTTTGGATTTTTGCGCATATCATATTTAAAGAAAGACCATATTGCACGCAGCTCAAAAATGTTTCGCACTGCTCCGTAGTCAGGGCCAAGATGTGCTCCGGGAGCCTCCTTGCCGTTAGGAGAAGCTCTGCAGCTAGCGCCAGCAGACCGCGCCTCAGCGAAGCGTGGTCCTCGTACGTAACCAGAGTAGCTTTATGATTGGGCACAAAGTTCAGATTCTATACGCACTTGCGGCGGAGGAGACAACTTGAAGATGTAAACAAAACAAACCCATGAACGGCCGCGAATGTCTCAGGCTGGCGCAAAACTTCGTCGCCATAAAACGTGAAGCTGAGGTGCTGTGAACCTCGAACTCTAAGCTCGCCTTCACTCAATTTAGGTGAGGTCGCAAGACAGTTTCGAGCAGCGCATGTTTTTTGCAGCGCTTGTGTGCACCCATGCGCGAGGGACGGTGACGTCATAGGAGCGACTAGCGACGCTAGATGCAACCCTGTGTCTGATCTAACAATGCAAGCGAAACCAAAGCTGCTGTAAACTGTCAGAGAAGGCCACCTCGACACTTTAAACAAGCGGCGGAACATCGTAAATATATTTTGTTGCACAAAGCTTCCCTGTCTCCTAGGAACAGCTATTTATTGAGTAGCTAGTATAAAGTTCTGGCAATAATTACTGCTCAAAATTGTGAAATTGCAAAGCTGACACATTATTTGAATATTTGGCTTGGGAAAATTCTTTCCATTACAGAGCTTTGATGTTACTGTAGCATAATCATGAGGGGCACGCTCTTTTGTCAAGTTCGATTCATTGATATGTAGGATTTAACGTCCAAAACTACCATATCATTATGAGAGACGCCGTAGTGGAGGACTCCGGAAATGTCGACCACCTGGAGTTCTTTATCGTGCACCCAAATCTGAACACACAGGCCTACAACATTTCCGCCTCCATCGGAAGTGCACCGCCACAGCCGGGATTCGATCCCGCGACCTGCGGGTCAGCAGCTGAGTACCTTAGCCACTAGACCACCACGGCGGAGCCTTTTGTCAAGTTCACGAGCCTACTGCACTTTTCAAACAATACACACACATTGGTTCGCTCAAAGGTCTGTCCAAAATTACTTTGTTGCCAAAATGGCAAGTTCAAATTAATTTTGAAAGTTGAGTGGCTGGACTAACTACAAGAAAATGTTGGGGTGCACGAAAAACAAATCTAATATGCCAATATGGACAATCCAAAAGCGTTGATCACCTGTGATCGATTTGAACAGGCGTGATAACAAAAAAGTTAAGAACTCTAAACCTTGTCTGCTGATGACTTTTTTGATTTTGACAACCCGCTTGCTTTTATTAAAGAAAGCTTGCTTAGCTATATTTTCTCTACATTCTGACGAATAGGCGTTCATGTTTCCTCTTGAATGATAAAGATACTACGTTCTGCGTGCATTCAAATCTTCATATGATGCAGCTGTGTGTATGTATTGCGGCATGCTTTGTCAACATGTGTAGAAGACACACGCTTGCCAAGGACATCAAATTGAGGGCGCTGTTTCGCGCAGTCATGAAAACAAATGAAATAAAAAGAAAGGCCAGATCACCTGGCTTAATACTCGAAAGAGGTCCATGTGCTACGAGAGGCAGTGTATTGGGTTGCTGCAGATTAATGTTTAGCTTTAGTTATTTTAGGTGCGTGCGAAAATCTTTCCTAATTTTTAGACTGATTTTACATGTCAAAACTTTATTCAGTCTCCCTGCGTCACCACGGATTATAGGTTCAAATAAGTAAAGGAAAGAGTATAGCGTTGAAGGTGAAAACTTCATGCATAAAAACCAAGATCAAAAAATTTATATATATATATATATATATATATATATATATATATATATATATATATATATATATATATAGCATGACAAATTGTCTCGATAATGTCACAGGGAAGACGAAAATATGAAAACGTGGGCTGCTGCAGCGATTTTCTATGAAGATGTTCATGTTGGGGCATGTGTGGTGACCTTCGCAGGACGCTGGTGTGCATCCTGACGGCCATAGCTCTAGCCTCGACTGCAGTTGACTTGGTCAAGAGGGCCATGCGGAAGCCCGAAAAGAAAGAGGCAGAAGCCGAATGTGAGTATAATGCAGTCTGCTTTTTGTTCGAAACCACTGCGAACATAGACTTTTTCGCCTGCTTCGTAGTGCGACTGCATTTTCATAATTAACAACACGAGGCTAGTGCGTTGACAGCATTAAGCGTGATAGATATCCAGGCAAAGTCAAAAGCCCAAAGCAATACCGAGGTTTGAAGTGACGCCAAAAAATTTTCGAACAAGGAGCCTCACCGGAACATCCCTTGTTTGGACATTTTCTTGTCGTTTAGTGTAATCTATTCACGCTAACGTGGGAATCAGGGCCCCTTGAAACGGACGAGGCACATTAACGAAGACTAGACTCCAGCACTTTAGTTAGATTGTGAACCCGAGGAGTGATAAATCTAAGAAACCTCCCTTAAGCTTTAGTGCCAATTAGCCCATCTCAGTGCATAAATCTCGCCAGCTGCTCGTTACCACCCACACTGCAAAACCGGGCCGCGTGGGTGAGCTATTGCACTCCAATTTCGAAAACGTTATATTACTTCCACGACAATTTCTTCTGTTTGAAGGTAGGTGCCGAAGATAAGGGGTATACATTCTGCAGCCATTTGAAACAAGATATGTTTATAAGCAGGCATTTACAACACAAACCTATCTGAAAAATCAGCACAGGAATCGGCTAACTACAGCAGCCAGCATGCGGTGGACTTGAGTGTCACGAAGCATTGCATCAATTTGTTGGTAAAAGGAAGGCAATTTCGTTTGCATGGTAGTAAAAGAATTTCAATGTATTATTATTGTCCAATACATTGCGCGAGAATTAAGCTTACACCAAATGAGAAATATTTGCATGAAAGCAGGGGGAATGGGGTGAAGGGTTCCTTCACACTAAATTCAGCTTATTGGGGTTATTTAAGATCAACATGCTTGAAAAGTCAAAACCAAAGTCACTGATTATTCTTACACAATAAAGTGCTGTTACAAAATCATATACAGACGGGGGTCACAAAGTCGAAAGCTGCAGTGGGACCCTCGGTTAATAATTGTTAACAAGAAGTCAAAAAACGTTAGCAGTTGAACAGCAACAAAAAAGATAATAAAAATAATATACAAAGCTAAATACATAGATTGAAACACAGTGGCAAAGTACACCTGCTTTAGTGTACCCCTGCTATAGTAGAGAACTTCTGCTGCAGTATAATACGGAGTGTTGTGGCAAATGAGCGCAAAAACTACGAGAGAGTGAACGCACGAGACATAACGCTGTGACCTCTTAGTTGTCTGTCAGATATTCTGCGCTGTTCTGCCATAATCTTATTAACCGACTAGCTGTTGCGATTGAGGGAATTTGTCCGAAACTGGAGCCATCCAAGTCTCAAGTAGATGACGAGCAGAGGAGCCGGAGCTGATATCAGAAATGTTTATTTACAGTAATACACGTGAGAAGAGGTTTATTAGCCGTTAAGGACAGCTAAGAGACAGCGTGAAGAACCGTCCAGCAGAGACCCGCACAGCAGCGAACCGAAGCACGAGCCGAGAGCGCCGGGCGTGGGTGATGCTGCTCGCTGCAGGCACATCTTCTTCACAATCGCCCTCGCAGAAAAAAGAGCCATCCTGGTGACCTAACAAGTTTTAGGCAGACGCTCATGATACGGTTTCAAGCGGGAAACATGAACGATGTGACGTGCACGCTGGCGCATGTCGTCCGATCGGGAAACTGGCTCAATTAGTAAATTAGGCGCAGAGGTTTTCTCTAGTACGGTGTAAGGCCCCTCATACCAGGGGACAAGTTTCGATGAGAGTCCCGGAGTTTGGTATGGGATGGCAAGCCATACAAAAGACCCTGGGGCATAGCTGGGATCCGGAAGGGAGGTGCTACGGTTTTCTTTCTGGCGTTGCTGCTAGTCCAATGTGAGCGTACGGGCGAGCTGGCGGCACTCTTCGGTTTGTCGAGCAGCATCGGAGGTAGGTGGACACTCGGAAGCATGAGGACAGTAGGGAAGTAGAGTATTGATAGTAAGGGAAGGCTCGCGACCGTAAAGAGGAAAAAAAGGGGAAAACCCCGTGGTTGTTTCTAGCTGTGTTATATGCGAATGTGACGTGTGGGAGAACATGGTCCCAGTTGCTACGATCAGATGCCACGTACATTGAGAGAATATCAACCGGCGTGCGATTAAACCATTCTGTTAGCCCGTTAGTCTGCGGGTCGTTTTCCGGTGAATGACGACGCATTCCAAAAGGAGAGCTTCGATGGCCTAGGAGAGGAAAGCGCGGCCTCTTTCACTAAGGAGCTCTCGAGGTGCGCCATATCGAAGGATAAAGCAACGTAAAATGAAAGAGGTGACATACTGAGCGGTAGCGCTCGTCAAAGCGGCTGTTTCGGCGTAGCCTGTAAGGTGATCGACCGTCACATTACTTTACCGATTGCCATCTGATGTCAATGGAAGCGGGCCGTAGAGGTCATCGCCAACGCGATCAAACGGCTTGGCAGGGCATGGAAGAGGCTTCAATGCGCCAGTCGCACGTAGCGGTGTTAATTTGCGTCGCCTGCAGTCAGGACCGCACTGCATGAATTTGCGTACAAAATTGTACATGCCGCGCCAGTAATAGCGATGGCGAAAGCGTTCATATGTTTTCAAAAGCACGTCGTGGCCACATTGTGGAGCGTCGTGAAGAGAGGCGCATACTTGCGATCGTAAAGTGCGTGGAATGACCAGTAGCCACCGGCGGCCATCGGGAGCGTAGTTGCGTCGATGAAGAAGTTGATCGCGGATGACAAAATGGAAAGCTTGACTGTCGGAGGGATCGTGATACCGGAAGGTTGGCCGTGCCAGATTCGAGAAGAGATGTGATTCACGGGTCACGACGTTGTTCAGTGGCAATCGAGTCAATATTTAGCAATGACAAGGTCTGGAGGGAAGTGTTTTCGCACGTCGAATCTGGCGGTAAAGGTGAGCGGGACAGGGCGTCAGCGTCAGAGTGTTTGCGTCTACAGCGGTATACGACGTGAATGTCGTACTCTTGGATGCGGAGTGCCCATCGGGCAAGGCGGCCAGAAGGGTCTTTCAATGTGAAGAGCCAGCAAAGCGCATGGTGATCAGTTACTAGATCGAACGGGCGGCCGTATAAGTCAGGCCGGAACTTTCCAAGCGCCCACACCAGAGCCAAACACTGTTTTTCTGTCACGCTGTAATTAGTTTCGGCTTTCGTGAGAGTGTGGCTAGCGTATGCTATAACGTATTCTGAATAGCCGGACTTTCGTTGAGCGAGGACAGTGCCCAGTGCCTATAGCCCGACGCCGCTGGCGTCGGTGTGCACTTCGGTAGGAGCCGTCGGGTCTAAGTGGCGAAGAATAGGTGGGGAGGTGAGCAAACGGCGCAGAGTAGTGAAGGCAACGTGAAGAGGTTTATTAGCCGTTAAGGACAGCAACAATACAGCGTGAAGAACCGTCCAGAGATCTGCACAGCAACGAACCGAAGCACGAGCCGTGAGAGCCGGGCGTTGGCAATGCTGCTCGCTGCAGACACATCTTCTTCTTCACAAGGTAGCGCGATACCACATGAATGATGGTAGCGTCCTTTGAGTCCCTCAGCGCTCACGTTTTATAGCCTGCGTCTTCCCAAGATTCCCTGCAGGAGAAAACAATGAAGCCCGAGGCAGTCCAATGAAAAAGTAGTTTTCATCTCCGCCCCCCTAAATGGGGAGGCCAAATACCTCCTCTTTGCCAAACCAGAAAAAAAAGGCACGCCCAGTTCGTCTCACGGCGAAGGAGAAGCGCAACACCAGACACAAAGCGATTTTACGGCATGACACAGCATGGTGCAATGACGTGGTGCCCCATGTGCTGTATTGACTCATAGATGTGGCCGCCGTGCCGGGTAGGCCACGGTGTGCTGAAAATGAAGACGTGAAGACACCATCGAACGTGGGAAACATCCTCGAAGATTGATCCGAGAAGCCTGGCTCATTGTCCGTTGTACCTTGATGAACAAACAAGTACAGAGGTGACTACCTTTTCCTAAGCAGCTCAAACTGCAAATAGCCCTTCCTAAGTCATTGGAAGGTATGACGTGTCCAAAGAGCTTTTGACGAGGGAAGCCACGGGCCCTGAAGAATTCGCAGCACGACTGTCGTGTTGTCGCCGCTTCTGGACAACTTTTGGAGCGTTGCAAAGCTGGAACATATCAGAGTAGATGCAACCAAAACCATCCCACACGCCCAAGCGGCGCCATGACAGGGAGGGCGATCACAACATAGTCCACTTAGGAACCCTTCAGTGTGAACCAATTTTCGTTCTGTGGTAGTGGTAGTCGTTGGTGATCTTAAAATGCGAATAAAACAAATTCAGATTTCAAGACTTTATCTTTGGAGACTCTTTTCACTATTCATGACCAGTCATAAAAAAGGAGGGGGGGTTTGCTGGTGATCTTATTACTCCAATATAGACGTAGTACGCACCACACCAGACCAGCAAATATTGGCAAATATTGGGAAGATTCGCTGTGCCAATTTTAAAAAGATTGTCTACTCTATATACAGGAACGTGCGCACCTATAGGAGTCGGCAGTTTGGGGAGGCGTATACAGCGATGGCGTTCTGTTGCAGCCGTCCACTGATTCTCTTCTGCAAGTCCTAACCTGCAGATGGCCCTCTATTTCTGGGACCATTTCGAGCAGCCACGACAACTACGACGCGTGACTTTTGGTTGCTATTAGAACTTCGTGAAAATTCCCTCCCGGCGACATGAGTGTATATCGGACAAACAGCCTGCTTACGCGCGTACCCGGGCCATCCCGCGGTTGGTGTGAATTCAAGGTGCACAATTCGCTCGTCACTCGGTAGGACTAGGTTCGAGTTTTTATGATACCTTACCTTAAGAATTAGGTCATCTTATGCCCCTGACACACGGGCACCCTGAAGTCCTTTAGACAAGGGGACATCTTTCGGAAAGGCGTTCGGGCACAGTGACACACGACGAAGGAGTAACACCTTTCCGCAAAGATCCTTTTCGCAAAAGCAGATCCCGCATCTACTTTT